TGGAGTCGTACTGTTTTATTTATCAACTTTTTCATTGAGACATTTTTATTTCATTCTTTAAAATTGACTTCAGTACATGTTAATACTGAGCCCAGCGATATTAGTGTCGTGTAATAATAGTATTTCCTTTGTTCATGTACTTTCTGTACACTTTCTCTGACTTCCTTTGTATTCTCTACAGTCAATTTTCCTTTTATCTCTTTGTTGTTTTGCCATTATTTTCAAGTTTGAACTTGAACTGTTTTGAATAAACTTTGTGCACCTGATCAACGTCTTTCTCGTGCTGCATTTGGGTCTTGGCCACTTTCCAACGTTAAATATTGTCACATGCAGTTCCTCTTTTCTCCCCTATATTAAAATCCTGTGAATAGGAATATTTTTGGGACCTTGTTTCCTCCGTTCTTACGTCGTCACCCTCCATGATGTCATCTCTCACGCCTGACTGAGTGCTAATTCTGAACAGGTGCCATGATGAAACTCATCCTGGATGAAAGCCTTTCCCTTCACTCTGGTCACCGTTCCAACATCTTGGCCATCTGGACTCTTTCATCTGGCACTGAATGGAAACCAAAGGGACGGGTCAGAGAACGTCTCTCAGTCAGTTTGGCCACGAGAAAGTTTATCTACTAAACTGATGAACAACAGTTTTTTTAACCATCCATCTGAAGCTTTTGTCTCCTTCATTTTGTTTTGTTTTTCCCTTTGTTGTGTGATTTGGATCAGGGCTCTTTAAATGTGCAGTGTTATTTGTTTTGTTCACAGCTTTAGTGACAGTTTTCCAGTTTTATCCACACTGCAGCTGTTAAAGGTGAAGTCCGAAAGTCAAATGTCTCCACAAACAACACTGGTTTGAAAAAGTGTGTAGTTGAAGTAAAGTTATTCCATCGTGTAATTAATGATTCAAAACTAACAAGAGAATTATAGCTATTGTTTTTTTAATTAAAGTTAGTTCAAGTTTTTTTTGTCTTTCTTCAGTTCCTGGGAGTACAACAGCGTTGTTTTCAACTAAACAGGCTGAGATTCTACACCGAGTCAGTAAATTGTAAGTACATTTGTATTTTTCAGTACTTCATTACATATACTTTTTACAGATTTTTGTCTGATCGTGTGTTGTGGGTTTTCTTCAAATAAAAAATATTTGCTGTGGCTCAAAAAAGGTTGGTAACCACTGGTGTAAGATAAAACTCAATAGTTATAACAGCACAATAAGAAGGCGATTGATTTTTTTTTTCTGTTGAACCACAATTATACAGTTGTGTTGATTGATTTTTTTCAGCTGTCGTCACCTTTTGTGCTGCAAAAGATTCAATAACACAAAATAAGCTAAATAATTTCTAACTTGTTTTTCTCGTTATTTTCACTAATTAACTCTCTCTCCCATCACAAAGGTTTTTTTAAGGCATTGATATCAGAACGATGCCTGAGTCATTTTTATGCCTCTATAAACATCGGTCGTCGAGACAGACACCGAGATTAGGCCTAAAAAACAGTCATATCCAACAGCAGAAAAAAACAAACCAGTAAATATAAAAGTCAATCAAACGTCTTAATAATTACAATCAGATAAATCATCAATAATTAATTGATGCAAACTGGCTGATGGGAAGTCTAAGTCCTTGACCCTGGTCCATTCAAAAACACTGGAGCCAATAAACATCAGCTGAAGTGCCACATGGGGCTCAGGAGCCACAGGTTGAAGACCCACAATGTGCTGGATTTAACTGCAAATGACAGTAATGTTCATGTGTGGAACAGGAAACGTCTGAAGATCATTTAACAGTGAGAAACAAAGGAGTTGTTTTTCTCTGGAGCGCTGCTGGAGCCGACCCAGTCGGTCCACGGCTGCCATTGTTTATAGATCTCGTCTTTTGCGAACGAGAAGTGAGCAGACGTGACAGCTGGGTGAGGACGAACTGTGGCTGCGTGATCAGCTTTGACACTGCTCTTATCTGAAGACAAAGCACAAAGACAAACTCTACACAAAAAACAACCTCTCAATTCTTCCTTTATCAACAGCAGCGACGACTGAAGAGTCGCCTGATATCACAGCTCTGTGGCACAGATACGCTCCGGCCGCTGTGATGGCTGGGTGTGAGCTGAATTCAAGGGGCAGATGAGTGACAGTGGAAACACACACACATACACACACACACGCACACACACTCAGGTGGAGCGACTCTCTCTGCTCACCGCTCCAGTTCCTTATAGACATCATCTTCTCCCCGTGGTTTCAAATCCTGGTAAAGGATGATAAGAAGGAAGAACGCCGTGGAGTGAAGCACAGTGGGGAGGGGGGGGGGGGGGGAGGGGTTATGGTACTCAGGCCAGATCTGTGTGTTCCCATTGTGTAATAAGATTGATATGTGAACATCCACAGTACGACGTCTAAGGTGTGGGATTTTTATCTGGTGTAACAGCGAAGACGTCGAGAAGAGATGTCGAAATGAAGATGATTGAGTCTGAACTAGGGCTGTATACTGGCAAGAATCAGGCCATACAATAGGTATCACAATAGAGGGGCAACGATACGATATATTACGATATGAATGAACCAACAGCTGGAATATTGGACTGGGAATTGGTGAGGAAAAATCAATGACTGATCAATGACTGATGGAGGAGGAGAACAACTGGTGTCTGTGCTCCTTCACTCACCATGTAGACAGAACTCTGGGGAGACGCCTGTGGGTGAGGAGAAAGGAGGTTTAATGAACACAGATGAGAGAGGAGTGATAAGAGAGGGTTGGAAAAACATGGAGGGTGTAGGAGGGAGAAATGAGGGCAAATGAGGAGGGGTATTTATAGGTGGAGGTGAAGGTACTGAACATTTGTACCTCTTTGAGTTCCTCAGGATTTTCATAGATGTTCTCTGCATCACCCGTGCGGACTGACAGAGACTGTTCAATACCTGAGCACAGACAGACAGGACACACACACACACACACACACACACACACACGGTGGAGGATTCATTACAGTAGGCCCAGAGGATGTCACGGTCACGTGGCTCGGCCGACAGGGGCCAAAGATGGACGGAGCACACAAGGCTGTCAAAGAAAGAAAGAAAGTGCCGGAAGACTCACCACAATCAGAAATTTGTTTCCGTTTCCATAGCAACACACCAACAGCTGCAGCAGCTAAGGGCACCAGGAGTAATAAAGCAGAGAGGGAGAGGAGCAGGGAGGGGTGGGCCGCGCTGGCATTCACTACAGAAGAAGAGAAAAAGGCACGAATGTTTTCAAGAACGGTGCTAATGCAAAACTCATGGACTCACTGGAGCTGTGTGTGTGTGTGTGTGCGTGTGTGTGCGTGCGTCACACCCTCTAAAGTTCCTGCTCTTTGTTCCACATTTGCTCCTGGTTCGTGTCAGCTGGGCCAGCACGTATTTTACAGCAACACAAAAACATTTGAAGACGCAGCGCCGTTAAGTTTTCCGAGACACGTTACGAGCGTTTGCGTCACGCAGCTGTCCGTCACATGTACGAAATAAAGTGAAGCAACACAGGTCCTGTCAGCCGCGGTGAAGGCTCTGTACGGCAGCTCAATAACCATCATGTTGGCAGGTGCTTCAGTGTCGGAGCAAAATGGTTTGGGTTTTTTTTTTTTTTTACATCAGAGCAGTTTTTTTTCATTCATGTAAATAGCTCAAGTAAACCTGACATGGGCAAAATATGCAAAGAAATTTATATTACAGTTTGAATTGGTAATTGAACCAATGACCTTTCTGCTGTAAGGCAATAGTGCACACCACTGCAGAGAAATCGTGGCAAACTGTACGTACGCAACCCCACAGCCCACTGTCATAG